TGCGTTTTCCCCGGGCAGGGGTAGCGGTAGTAGCAGTGGTGGTAGTACTGCTACTACTACTACTACTACTACTACTGCTACTACTACTACTCCTGCTGCTGCTGCTGCTGCTGCTACTGCTACTGCTACTACGACTGCTGCAAATACTGCACTCGCAGTCTCTGAGGATCTCGAACTTCGCGGTTGTGGGCGCTGAGGCGAACAGGCCGGAGTTGTAGGTTTCTCCAGCTCTTGAAATTATCTGCTTGCATAGGATTATTCACAGAATAAGGACTGCGAAGGAGACCGCAATTAACAGACGCCAGGTTCGTGTTCAGACGGTATGTTCACTAACTCCGAGTCGTTACCTTATTGGAGTGATAGCTTCAGAGCAGCATCCACAAGGCTTCCATGGGTTGAATGGATGTTTGCTTAGAAGGGTTGCGGAGATGCTTTCCCTAAGAGGATCCCATGGGCCCATGAGTTGAAGTTTGCCGAGTTCGTCTTGTGGACTTGGGTCCTTTAGGTTCGCGTGCCCTATCCTCGGGTCCTGGCTTTGTATGCATCACACTTCCCAAATGTCCAGGCTTCACATGTGCCATGTTGGAGATGGCTTTGGATTGGAGCATACATGGACAAGATGTCGCAGGGGTCAGTTGTAGGAATGGCTCCGGCAGAGCTGAGAAATTTGGGTCCAGATCCCACTGCTTCTAATCATGGGCTGCCCAGCTTTGGCTGTCTGGCCTCAAACTCGGGCAGCAATGCCATCACATAGTTTGCCCGGGTGCGGGGTGAAGCTGGCAAGAGGCTAGCGTGATCGAAGAGGCATGTGCGCAAAAGCTCTACAGTTCCTTCTGATAGTTTCTCGACCACTTTCAAGGCAGCCGTCATACTGGTCAAGCATCTTCACCTCACTCGATTCGGGTCCCTGCACTTAGAGAAGCAGAGCCTAGCTCCGCTTCGAAGTGTGGTATGCGATTGCCTGATAACTAGTCCCTCTATATAGTGAAAGTATGTACAACATGCTCTCACACTGGTTGTACTGCCTCTGTAAAATATTCCCTGATTGAGCAAACTTCCACAGGCTCCTGGCCCAAGTGTCGGAATGCGCAGCCCAGCTGCGCTGCAGCGGCTGCCGGGTGTCTATGTAACTCGGCGGCCTTGAATGCTCATTCGTCGCACTTGGCTGCGTTAATGGTTTGCGAGGGCAGGTCCATGTGTACGCTAGCGTGATTTCTGTCAAATGCTCAAGTGATTCAAGTGTAGAAGAGGCCGGCGTACAAAATTAGAACTAGAATCTGTTTCAGGTGTTTGATAGTGTGTTCGACATGCTTACATCTGTGCTGGAGCCTGTCCTCAGGCTTGGGCCAAGATGTGATTCATGGCCGGTATCAACAGATAGAAGCAGTTATATAAAGCCTGAATACTTGGTAACAGTACCTCCTGTTGCTGTGACGATTCTGATTGATACTAGCTGCCTGCTCTATGTCAGTCTGTCTTGTGCTACTCTTCACATGGCTACAGAGGTAGAACCGTAACAAACCATCCTGCCATTCTTATGTTCACCCCATGAAAGTAGCACGATCCAACTTGTGAACTAACGATGAATATCCTGTTTCGGATGAGTTCATTTCGTTTCTTGCAATCTTTGTGGTAACAAACACGGGCCGATTGTTCCCTAGTAGGGTTGGGGTGGTTCTATACTATACATGTACTAGGGTATCCCACGGAACAATGTTCCTATTTATCCAAGCCCCCACGTCAAGTAGAGGGTTCTGAGTGTTGGGCTGTGGTCGGAATGCCGCTTTTTGTACTTGATTGACTCCGCTATCATAACTGCTGGGTTGGATTTCTGCGCTCCGTGTTCTAAGGCCCACATGCTACAGCTTGTCACCGTGCAGTACTACTAACTACCCTAAACCCTACACAATACACCAATGAACTCCTCAACTCCACCCTCTCAAGTCCGCCCCTATAGAGCCCTTTAGACGATTGTCCTTTTGAGCAAAACCCTCAACCCCCTCATAATTCCTTTTCCCAATCGAGCCCCTAATCCTCATAGAAAAAACGTAAAACCGTGAACCTCTGTAACGACCTTACATCATAAAGCCTGCACTCTAAGCCCAAAACACTTGTAAGAAACCTTACTCCGAGGATGCCAATTGCGCTAGGAGGAGGCGAAAGAGGCCTCCGATTGGCCGCGGCTTTGCGGGAACTCTCGACTGGAGGCCCACTTTGGTTCAGGATTATCATAGTGGGCGGAATGACGAGTAATTAATGCAGCAGTTTGTTAAAGCTATTTCCCAAACCACTATACCATAACGTGCCTCAACACTTTTTTGAAAATAGCAAGGCCCTTTTCTTTGGGTTGAGGGCCGGTTTTGAAGGGTTCCTTAGGTTTTCCGGGCCTTAGTAGACAGAAGTGTCTGGATTTTGGTTTTTTATTGGGTTTACCGAAGCTACAGGTTGAGTTGGGGTTTCGGATGGTTTTCGGTCCCAGAGCTCGGGAAGCCTGCCGGCTTTACTAGTCTAAAAACCAAAAAGCCCCCAAACCCGAAACCATTTGAAACCCTAACACCGAGTCCTCAACCCCCAGATACCTAAACCCCTAAGAAGCCTTGAAAGCCTGAGGCCACCGGCCCCTAAAGTCCAAATCTATTAGGGTTTAGGGTTTTCCCAGCAGAGGCGCCGCAGGCTGGATGCAAAAAAGGGTTTAGGGTGTAGGGTCCCCTTATAGCCTCAGTTATCATCGCACTGCAACATGCACCAGAAACCCGATGGCCCCTACACTAAAGCCCTAAAGCCCTTGATGCTCTTGAGTACAGTAGAATATACCCTAGATCCCTGTTGAACTGATTCGTTCAAGTCCTGGTATCAACCCCGAGACCCCTAAACCCTAAGCCCCTAAGCCCTAAACCCCATAGCCCTGAGCGCTATACCCCGAAGCTCTAAACCCCTAAGCCCTAAACCCTAAACCCCTAAGCTCTAAATCCTAAACCCAAGGCATCCGCAACTCATTGTGTCACGCCGACTTCTGCACCTATGAACCCTCGCCTGGCTTGTCCGAGTTGTGAGAGTGTACACCCTAAACCCTAAACCCCACACTACCCTAAACCCTGAACCCCTAAACCCTAAACCCTAAACCCTACTACCCTAAATCCTAAACCCCAAGCCACGAAGCCCCCTCCACTCCCAGGGAGCCCCTGGTACCAGCCCTTCCACGGAGCCTCGACGGCCGGGGAGATGCCGGCGCTCACCGAGAAGATTCGCGAGGCCGCTTAGGGCTTTTAGGGGTTTCTAAGGGGTTTCGAGTTTTGGGTTTCGGGGTTTGGGGGTTTAGGGTTTAGGGGTTTGGGGGTTTAGGGTTTAGGGGTTCAGGGGTTTAGGGTTTAGGGGTTTAGGTGTTTAGGGTTTAGGTGTTTGGGGCAACTTTTACGAGGTCTGTGGGTGTTGTATGTTGTCAGTTGCACGTTTATTTCGGCAGGTTTTAGGGTTGTTCAAGGTTGCTGGTCTACTTCAGAGAACTTTTGTTCAAAACGTATTTTGTCTTCAGGTTGGTTGCTTGAGGCCAGTAGCAAAACAGGTTGTTTGAGAATGGGAGTTCTTAAGGTCCTCTTTCATGTTTCAGGACATGCATGCTTGGGAAACAGGTAGATGAGATTGAGGAGAGAAGGGAGCTCTGCCCAATCAACAGCACGGAGGCCCTACAGCCTAAACCCTTAACCCTTAACCCTACTCAACCCTAAACCGAAGCCGAGTTCAGGGTTGTCATGTGGATTGTGTCCGTCTACTCCCTTGGGCATTATCCTGGAAACTTGAAGTCAACCTTTAATCCCAGTCCCGCAAACTACACCCTAAACCCCGAACCTTAATCCCTACAGTAACCTCTAAAGCCAAGCTCGGAAGTCCTGTAGGGTTGCTGTCTTTGGCTCTTGGCTTTGGGACTTTGGCTTTGAAAGTTGGAAGTTGGAGGGTTGATCTGCCCGAAGACTTAGTAGCTGAGTGGGTAACCTTTAGCCTTCTGGGGTTTATATAATCCTACCACTCTTGAAGAGGTTAACCTTTTCTGGGCTAGTGTACTCAGCCCCTAAGAAGAAAATCTACAGTACTTCAGCGTGGTTGTCTGTGGGAGAAGAGCCCTGAATTTGATGTTACTTGAGGAGGCTTGGAGCTAAAACTGCACCGCACGTGGAACTGTCAACGGAACAGAACATCGACCCAAACATGGTAGACGCAACGCTTACCGTAGGAGTGGCACTATATATGAAGACCTCCAAACACGAAGCCCTCTCCTGAAGTTTTGCTGTGGACGATGGAGATACTGGTGAGCGCTTCACGTTTCCTGATGTTCCTGTACAGGAAGGCTGTTCCAGCCCCGGCCCCGAACCACCATGAAGACTGCATAGCAAGCTTCCAGAAAACCGTAACAACAAGCCTTCAGAAACCCGCCTTTAAGCGGCTCCCCACGGCATTCTAGACGGCAGAACCCAACAAGCTGAAAGCTTGGTGGGAGTAGGAGTTCCAGAGAAACTGGCAACCCAACCCCTGCCCGCCTCAACCCAAACTCCCTGAATTTATTTGGGGGTTTCCGAAAATAGGGGACCCTAATATAGTACCCCCAAATAGTAGGATCCTTATTATAAGGACCCCCAAATAAGGTACCCCAAATTTTCGGAACCTCCCATTTCGAGCACCAGGAGATGCAGGACTGGAGGTCGAGGAAATCTGCGCACGTGACTCGGCAATCTTGCGGCGTGTGGGGTTGAATCGCATGGCCGGGTAGAATATCTTCAGGTCATGCATCTGCAGAAGTTGGTGGCAACTCGAAGCCGTGAACCCAAAATTTGTCTGGTCAGCGACGCGTAAGTCAGCTATTCGAGAGGTCCCTATACCCTAAACCCTAAACCGTCTTTCTCGGACCGTGTTGTTGAGACTCGGGAGCCTGATCCTCCATGGCTGACGGGATCGTGAAAGGGTTGGTGCAAGCGAACGACACAGGTAGTATCCTGCAGTACAAAGGAAACCTACACGTTTCTGGGCTCAAGCATGTCGGATGTCTAAACCCTAAGCCCTAAACCCTAAACCGTTTGAAAGCCAGGCTGACTTATTCATGCATCGATCGAGAGAACTAGCTGGCACGATGGAGCCTCGGGTTGCAGGGTCTCCGAAGCCCTTTAACTAAACCCTGAAGCCTTGCGCTTTACAATTCTGAAACCCTAAACCCCCAAGCCCAAACTCT